AAATTCTATCTGCCGTAGAATTTTTTCTGAAATCCATCACTCTCTCTTCTTCTCTAGCTCACTCCTTCAGGGCCAACTGAAGAAGCCAGGTTTGATCCATTTGCAATACTCTGAAATCCAAATTTGGGTCTCTTATTTGGACGTTACGAAATTGATTTTCATCGGATGATTGGTGATTTGATGCAATGCCTGGGTGAAACCTTGAAAATGCCTCTGACACCATGGTGATGCTTCTTATTTTGAATGCAAAATGTTTATGTCCAGAATTAGAAGTGTTACGAGTGATGTTCCCGAATGAATCATGTGATAGAAGTAAGCCATGGGCCGCTATTCAAATATTAGAGTTTGTAAAAAAGATGGATATGTTTCCACATGTCATGATTGCTTATAGAATATTGTCGACGATACCCGTAACTGTAGCATCTGCCGAGAGAAGCTTTTTAAAATTGAAATTATTAAAATCCTACTTGCGTACCACAATGACCCAAGGTAGAATGAATGCGTTAGCAATTTTATCTATTGAAAAAGATATGTTGGAAAATATTCAATATGATGATATCATTGATGATTTTGCCTCTAAATGTGCAACTAGAAGACATCTTCTATGCTTCATGTGAACAAAAAAAAACCCCACCACCTGCCATGACGTGAATTTCATGGCAGCCCCCATGCCCTCAAAACTTTCATGGCAGGCGCGCCGTCCGCCTTCCCCCCCTCCCAAAACCCCACACCTGCCATGGACGTCAAATTCATGGTAGGTTTTTCATCACCCTCTCTCGTTCACCACATATTGACAAGTAATAAAATTGAATTGAATTTAAAAAAAAAAAAAAAAAAAAGAGAGAGAAGAGAGAAGAAAAACCTATTGTATTGTTAATTAGTAGACATAATTTGAGATAGAATGATTACCTTGATCGTAGAATAAATTTGAGAAGGTTTCTTCAAATTCGAAACTGGAATTATAGTACTGTTTTTATGATGTTTTGTGCAAGGAGAAGAACTTGTTTCGGGAGAGAAAAAGACGACGTTTGAGATTTTAGAGAGAGAATTTTTTTTTATTATGTGCAGGATCTAGTAATTTCCATGTGGGATTTAGCATATCAGTTATTTATAATGCTGCAATTAATATTGTAGATATTAATATTAAATGATATATTTCACTAATAATTTAAATTTTTAGTTGAGTTGGTCATTCAACATAGTGTTAGAGTCAGGATAAATGAAATGTCATGAGTTCGAATCCCGCCGCCACCCATTTCAAATATATCAAGTGCAAGACTTCAAATGTAATTTGTTAAAAGTGAACACATTGAATTTAATAATTATAACTATTGAGAGAACTATACTTGCGTGTTAGAAGTATTTTTACCCACAAATCCTTCAATATAAGGACACGCATGTTTTATATTTTTACGATAAGACAATGTAGTCTTTTGGTAAGGACCTTGCATTTAAAACATATTTTGTTAGATGTTTGAGTCGCTGGGAGGAAAATTAGGAACTCACTAAGGCTATGTTTGATTAGATTAAGTACTGAATGCTGAATGCTGAAAACATATCTGAACAGCTAAGAGCACGGTCTGAATCTAAATGCAGAATAGTTAAGTTTGTTTGATAATTATATATCTGAATGATACACTATTACTAAATTAACCCTATACATAGATTTATTTACTACGTGAACTATTAGTAATATCAAACTATTTTTTTATGTAATAGAAAAATCATATCAAAAAACTATGCTGCACGGACACTTCTCGAATGTGAAGAGTCCCCGTATCCGACACCTGCACACTCGGACATACCCGAACACTTCTCGGACACCCGTGTCGGGCCGTGTCGTAATTTCGCTAAAAGTAAGACACCTGTGTCGGGCAGTATCCACAATTTTAAAAAGTTGGGACACTTCTCTTACATTTTAAGATAGAGCCCTAATAAAAAAATGCGCATTTTCTTTTCTCTATAATACACATTTCCTCTGTTTTCTTTGTGAGTCCACCCAAAACTCCAAAAGTTTAGCATGCGACGGCGACCAAGAACACGAGCAACAAGGGTGAGCGATTCTCTTATGCGATGACGACTTATACATATTTTTTACAATTTATAAATGTACCCCTATATTTTTATTATTTATAAATATACTCCTATATTTTTTTATATTTACGCGTATCCCCATGTGTCTGTATCCTAGTTTTTTGGAAATGCCGTATCACCGTGTCCGTATCCACGTATCGCCGTGTCCGTGCAGCATAGGCAAAAAATATGGATTTGAAAAAAAAGAGAGAAATGTTTTCCTCCATTATTGAATAATTTAATGAAAATTAATATTTATCTCATCCCATCATCTCATTGACTCGATTCGTACATATCTCTGAACAAGAATACAAATTTAGTGCAAAAATATGTACAAACCAATGTAAACAACCAACATCGCCGCCTCAAGTTCTGTGAATCTATGTCCTTGACGTGCTGCTAAAAACATCGTCATATTCTCAAATCTTGCAGCCCCTCAGTCAGATTTTCACTTCCCGACCATCTCCAACGGAATCCCCAAATTGATTCGTCTGTGTCGATAATAAACGAAAATCAATTACTTAAACATGAGATTTTTGTTCCAATTGCATAAGCCCTATTTGGTGATCAAGGTTAATTAATAGATATGAAGGTTGATTTCAATAGGGGAGGTGGCTGTGGTGGTCAAGAAATTAATTGGTAAAATGAGTTTCAATTGACGAAGAGGACGAACAAAGCAGAGAAATGTGGTCACCAAACCCAAATATCCATTCAGAGATCCGCTGAGCGAATAAGCAAGAAATTTCTAACTGAACCGGTAAGAGGCCATGGGTTTCATTCAGATATCCACACCAAACATACTTAATGAGTAATCTCTTACCGATTCAGAAATTAGTGTCCATTAAGAGCAATCAAACAAGCTCTAACTATCCTTTAAAATTTTAAAATAAATATTTTATATTTTAGATAAAATTCTTATGCATAAAATAAAAAGGGGCCACATAAAGCTCTCATGTTAAGTTAATTCTCAAATCACTTGTTAAGAGTAGAGGTGTAAACGAGCCGAGCCGACTCGTGAGCTCGAAGAGCCGGCTCGTAAAAAGCTCGAACTCGGACTCGAGATTTTCGAGCTCGAGCTCGAGCTTTCTGACGAGCCGAGCTCGAGCCGGTTTTCAGTTGTTCATGAGCTCGCGAGCCGGCTCGCGAGCCGAATTTATTATTATTTTTTTATTTTTTATATGTTATTTTTATTTAAATAATGTATAATAATGTAAAATATTATAGAAATAAATACAAATATTAAAAATATATATAATTACAATTTAGTTTTTATTTTTTATTTTTTTAAATAATATTTAATAATAAAATAATAATTAAAAAAATATTTAAAAAAAAAAAAAAAAAAGACAATGGGCTCGAGCTCGAGCTCGACAAAATTAACACGAGCTCGAGCTCGAGCCAAAAAAAGAGGAGCTCGACGAGCTCGAGCTCGAGCTCGAGCTCGACAAAATAACTCGAGCTCGAGCTCGAGCCAGCCAAAAGAGGCGAGCTCGGCTCGAGCTCGGCTCGTTTACACCCCTAGTTAAGAGTGTTCAAGAATTACTAGGAGAAATATGTAATAGACCCCTCAAATAGAAAATATTTTGAACTAAATCCAATTGACTTGTAAAGACTTTTGCTTACACCCAAATTATATTCTTAATTAGCGAGACCCCCTAGACTAGTGTGAGAAGACAAAAGTAGCCTCAACTACTATAATCCTAATTATTTGCCCACCTACCACTTTCATCTTCTCTCTTCTCCATCTCTCCACCTAAATTCCTCAAAACACTCTTAAAATTTCAAGCTTCATCCACCGCCGCCACCGCCACCGCCACCACTGCCGCCGCCGCCGCCACCGCCGCCGTCGCTGCCGCTTCCTCTTTCGTCTCCACATAAATAATCTCGTTCTCTCTCGATTTCTCTCCTTACACCACCATCGTCTAGATTTGCATACCACCACCACCGTCGTCGCTTGTGCCGCCGCTGCCTCCTTTGTTTTCACGTAAGGCTTCTTCTCTCTTTTTCGTTACGATTTCTCAGTTTTTTTTTTTCCAGATCTGCCCACCACCACCACTACCACCGTCCGCCTCTCTCACTCTATCTTTCGTTCACCACCGCCGCCATCGCCGTTGACTCCCCCTCCCTCTCTTTCGTTAATTTTCTACCCTTATTTATGTATTTATGTATTTTCCTTTTAAAAATCCCATCATCATTCTCATAAACCGCGAGTGAAACACACGAACTCGACCTAAGGGGAAAGTGCCTTTGACTAATGTTCGTATGGGGGTTTTAGTGATTTTTTTTAACACATGGGACTTTTTGAGCTGTTCGAGATTTCACATAGATACTATTTGCAAAAAAAACTCTTAACATAAATGCATGTTATATTTACCTTGATAACATA